CCACCCGACTAAGGATGAAATTCAAGACCTTCAAGCTTCACGGCGAACGCGTTGACCATTCAGCCACTGGGTCACTTTACAGTGCTTCACAGTTTCTAACTTCCGCTTCCTTTCCGACTGGTTGACCGTTTAGGTCAAGGGCTTCTCACTAGGACTTCGTGACATCCATCTGGAAGCATGTCACTAAACAGTACTGCATGCAAATAGCAGATATCTAGATGCGTACTTCTGAGGAGTCTCATACTAGGACGAAACAGCTGTACAATGCTTCCAGGTTTTCAACGGATCTTCAACTGATTTCTGTCCATGATGAACACTACCTCTAAATTAAAATCCCTATTCATCTCAAAAATATTTCCATAATCATCGTGGTTATTAGTTTCAATTGAAGTATGTTTATCTTTGAATGAATTTCAATGTTCAATGGCTATTAAAACACCACAAAATAAACTTTTGATTGATTTATTATCCTTATGTGTAGAACAGAGGCATAGAGAAACAGACAGAGAGCACATTAAAGCTTACAAGAATCCTCTCATAGAAACTAATACAACTGAAGAAAAATAAGAAAAAAAATGAACAAAAACTATCTTTTACTGGTGCTTCCAATTTTATAATGTTCTTTGTTTGCTGTTTTATTGTTCAAAAGAAAGTAAAGAGGAACAAAATGGCGTTAGAATATTATTAATAATAATACCAACAGAAATAACAACGAGGAAAGTATCATAAATTAGTCATTGAAAATATACATATAGTTCATGATAAATAAAGATCCCTTTTTATACTAAAAGAATAAGGATATAAGCAAAGGGTTAGTTTCCTTCTTTTTTTGTTCTAATTTTGTCTAACAACATAATTATTATAATAGAAACATTTTGTTTTACTTCATCTTGTCTTCATTAAAAGTAAAGTGGAAAATAATAATTACAAACACAAAAAGCCAGGTTTGTCTGATGAAAGCCTAACACATATGCTCATAGATGGCATAAAAATGGGTAGGTATGCTAGCAGATACAAACACACACATTCATTAAAACAAATATGACAATTTTTGAATGATTAAAATATTTATATCATTTCAAGTGTTCAATAGCTTTTTTATCATCAAGTTTCCTGACAGTAGACTGCTACTTATTGTAACTAGTGAGAAACACTTGCATTCAAATAGGATTATAAGCTTAAACGTATCCTAAATAAGTAACCCTTTTATTGCAACGTGATATGCTTTCTTTACAATAATGGCTGAAATTACAAGCCATTAGGAATAAGTGGGAATTTTGTAGTAATGATGGTTAGAGGCTAGCAGTGGAATTCAGGAAACGCGTTTTGCCCTATTTAGAATCTGTTGGCTGGATGCACCTGCCTCCTAATGAGTGATGTTGTTCCCACCTAGACTCGAACCTGGGAACGATTACTTCAAACTTCAGAGCGCTACTCACTAGGCCACCGAGTCACGACAACCAGGGAGTGTATAGTTTTTGTTACTTGCATTCTTTAGTCATTATCCATCATAACTATAAAACTAAAATGGCAGGCAATATATCGAGGCATCCGCACAGGAGCCTATACCGCCAATAGAGATCGATCAGTTCGGTTCACTCAGAGATGGGATAATACAAGCTGCAACATGAGTGGTAATTTATTTGAGTTATTCAGATGAACTGGTGGGCTTTTTAAACTGAAATTGGAAAAACCTTGTTGTTATGTATCAGTAAGCATATTACAAGAGTTAGTTAGCAACAGTAATGCTATTCTTCCTTCCTTGATGATGAAAAAGCTGTTGAACACTTGAAATGATATAAATATTTTAATCATTCAAAAATTGTCGTATTTGTTTTAATGAATGTGTATGTTTGTATCTGCTAGCGTACCTACCCATTTTTATGCCATCTATGAGCATATGTGTTAGGCTTTCATCAGACAAACCTGGTTTTATGTCTTTGTGATTATTACTACTTTATGTATTCGTATATAAAAGAATCCTAGACTCATGTTATTTCAGAAGAGTTACTGAAGATTCAGCGTTACTTTGAGAGTCGCACAAAAATACCGCGGATTTAAAATTCCAAAAGAAATTTGTAAAATAGCATATGACTAAGTAGGAGGAGAAGACTTGAAGCAGTAGCTGTTCGAAAGAAACCACTATTCCTAAAGCTACAATTTAATGCAGATATGCTGAGATCCTATACCACGGACTACCGAGGACCATTAAAAGAACTTTTGTGCAGCTAATCCACGTCTATTGATTTCTAGTGGACGATTTATTTCGTGTCAAATGAAAGACAAGTTACCTATTTTCGTCACTTCCATGTGTATTTACTAATTGAATTACTCCAGTAGAGACCAACCAACGAATTACGGAACAACTACATTCGTGGCTGGGAAGAAGACAGGTTAAATCTATGAGAAGCTCTGTTTTGTCATATCTAGTCGATACTGGTCACATCGTGGATAAAATGAGCGTTCGAAATGATTTACTGCTTCTCACTGAACCTTTTCCACCTTCTACATATTAGCTGAGGCTATAGGAATTCGTATGGACAATCCGAAGCTCTATATTCAGAAGAGATTTGCAAAGCCTTTATCCCTATCTTGATCAGGGGAAACTTAATGAATAAGCTTACTTATGAATTTGAAAATTTACTTCTCCCTTTTTATTTTGTTTTTGTCACGCCTTTCACACCACTACTATATTCATATTCAAGTTTTACTTATTCACTGCCTTCACCTTGCAGTATTACGCAACCAATAGTCCCTTTCCAAGCCTTTACCTGCTTTGTCTACCGAAACACCTGTTTACACCTACCATATCATCTTGTACATCTTTATCATCTTTTTTATTACCAATAGTTCTATCATTCTACAGTACGTAATCCGTATCCTTTTTGTCGTTAACTCACAAATTACCTGGAATGGTTGATATTTTGTGTTAAAAGTTGTATATTAGAGTGAAGCCTGATGAGATCTACTTGAAAACAAGATAGTTCGTTTATGTTTTTTTTATAAAATAAAATAACTCAACAACTACAAGCATGTCCTCTCACTTGGCGATTACTCAGACCTATTGTGTGAGGGTTGGTGATGCAACCTACCTGTCTAAACCCCAGTAAGCAGAGGGATTCATCATACTAAGTGCACAAAAAAGCTGAGATTTTTCATACTTGTGCAAGAGATTGACCTCACGGTCAAAATGTAGAAACAGGAAAAAGTGGTAGTTTCCGACTGGAATTCAAGGCGAAAGAATAAACTGAGAACAGTTTTCTCAGTTGAGAGATACTGTCTAGATGTTTATGAAGTAGAATACCATATATGTAACAACATGCTATGAACTCGGTTATACAGCAGTATATAATTTCATAGCAGGTATGATTTTCGTTGACAGTGTACATTTGGTCAGGTTGATTCCCTTTCTTTGAAGGTAATGAAAACTCAATCAGCGCAATCATGAAACCAGTACTGGTTGTTCTGATCCCCTGATTTTCCAAAGGGTTATTTGCAGCTCTACATAGAACCCCATTTCAATCTTACCAGTACAGAATAATTAGACGTATAAACGAAATCAAGCACCTTGTGGAGTAGGTAATGAGCCACACCTGTTTTGTGAGGCCTAGTGATACTACCTGGCTCCCCAAACCTCGGCAGGTGGAGAGGAGCTCAAACCCGCGACCCAATGGTGGATAGCGATCATCCCAAAACCACTGAGCCACAGATCCACGTATTAAACACAGACAAAAAACATCAGTGTCCTACTGTCATTAGATTTGCACAGTACTATTCAACCAGATGGTTCATAGGCAACCACGAAGAAGGAGATAGTCGGAAAACACTTTCTGTTTAAAATTTAGTTAGATATTGTGGAAATGGCAATCATTTTAGGGAAATACTTTGCCGCTATTATAAACCTGTAACATCAGCAATAATCACCCCCCAATGAACAATTTCCGACTGATATTTTTGAATTGCTGTAAAGTAAAGGAGTAAATGCTTCAGTTGATATAGCTTGGTGAGGTCATCAGGAAAATCCAACTTAATCACTACAGTAAAATACAAGTATGAGTAGGGTAGGAAAAACTGACATCTGGCTGCGTAACGACACCCACTAAATGTTTCACTGAACAGCCGAAAGTACTGTTCAGCATCAGGATTTTATTTATCTACCATCTTTACCCCTGCCCAATAGTATCCTTCCTCTGATAGGTTTCGAGACTTTTTCTCTTTGGTTGGTATCGGTACACTGTTCAAAGTCGACAAAATACATTTACTAACGTTATTACACTTCACTTTTCGAGATTCGAACTCAGCAACTCAACCGACCCAGTATTTGCTAATTTGAAGATAACACCACTGGGATACCTGTCATCGAAAAAATGGTGTCTTGAAACACTTATCTATTTATCCACATTATCATAAAAGGGACTAACTGTTTCAAATTTCTGAAGAGAAGACTCCCTCCATGCACTGTTAAACGAACTCTAACCTGGTGTAAATCGCACCTGAAGTGAAATTGTGGTTTTAAAAATAGTACACTTCTGATCACATATTTCCCAGACAACTCTACAAAATGTTGCGATCCTCTAAATTGCAACCCAATCTTTCAAATTTTGTTAGGGTTACGAAAATTTATGCACTTTAACTGAAATACGTACTCATGCTTCATCAATGTTATCGCATATTTCGCTTACTTACCACGTTAAATTCACCAGTTTTTGTAGTTCTCTTTGCAGCAAAACAAAGGAGAGCGAAGGGCAATAGTTGTCCAGATCCTGTTTTAATGACATTCATGAAGAAAAGGTCATTTTTGTACGATCCAGATAATAAGGGACCAATGTGTCCTCTGTTGTACTTTCAGCTCATGAGAAAGAGGCACTTTCCTTTGGATTTAGTTTTTCACTTTCATGCAAGAAAATTTCTCATTTACATATTGATGTCCAATTTGAATATCTCTATGAACATATGAGTCCTCTTATCCCAACATCTTTAGATAATCAGTTGGTTAAAGGTTAAATTAGTTGATACTGCTCATTAATTCTGTAGTTCAGAAACAAGACAAAGAGGCATTTTAAATTAAAATCACTTCTTTGGAAGACCTATGAGGCAGATCTGACGTAATCATTCTCAAACTAGATAAGATATCAGCTATTGTGTTGATTACTATAAAAATAAAATTCTATCCATCATCAGTGAGGAAAGCAAATTCACAGCTAACGTCGCATCAAAAGATATTAGAAAACTGAAAGCGAAAATAATCGCTATTAGCAAAGAGGAATTTAATTCCTTGAAACCTATGGGATTAATAAAACTAATGATCCCTTACACCCTATATTGTCTACGCGTTGTCCCCCACACAAACTGACAAAACCGCTAAATCCAGTTCGAAACGATTTCTATAAATTTCCACTGAAAGATACTTTCGAACTTTTTGACTGTCTTAGTAACATGAACATCAAAAACAAGACTCTGTACTCTTTTGATGTGAATTCTTTATTTAAAAACGTGCACTTGCCCAGGACTATTAACGTCCTCTGTGACTATGTACCTTCTAGAAACCTCCCATATCCTATTACTCCAACTTTTACCAGGGAATTATTAGTGCTATGTACCGGCAAAGCTCATTATCAATTTGCAGGCAAACACTTTCAACAAGCTGACGTTATAGCTACGGGGTCCTTCAAGGTGCTTTACTTGTTGATATTTATGTGCAACATCAAAAATCTGATCGGTAATCTCATCGCTAGTGTTTCTCTTTACAAGAGATATATCGATGACATCATAGTGATTTGTGAGGAGCAGAAGGATATAGTCTGTCTAGTTAAAAGATCTAACTCTATACAAACTAATATCAGCTTGACTTGTGAGAATAATAATCATGCCATTCCTAGATGTACTCTTGAGTAGATGAGATGGCTCATTACGACTAGCCTTTTGATCAGCCTACAGTAAGCCTACAAAGACATGACAATATCTGAATTTTCAGTTTTTGTTCTATCCAATACAACCAACGTCTAATAAAATGGTTGTTCAACAGGGTTCATCATATGTGTACATCAAATAAGATGGATGAAGACATCAAACTACTGACAAAAACACTTATGGAAAACGGATATCCATTGAAGCTTATAGACCGTTGTAGAAGTTAGACAGTACCGAAACCAACTCTACACACGTTTCCTAGGGTAAGTGTCTACATCAATCTAAATTACTGACGGGAGCTGGATGGTATAATTTTGAGACGCATGCTAACATCAGCCACTAGGAAAACCTATCATGCAACTAAGGTTATAATTGTGGGAAAACAAAACACACGCTTCACCACAAACTTAAACACTGCATTGAGAATCATATCACGTCTCACTGTATTTACCAGTACACACCTATGTGGTCACATGTACACAGGGAGAAGTAATTGAGCTATGCAGTTGAGAGTAGGAGAAAATGTACCTAAATGGATTCAAAAACAGGTGGTGTGAAACTTAGATAAGCGCATATGGGAGATGACCCTCTTCATCCACAACCAAACATTGAAACATAACACACAATACTTCACAAAAGAGCGAAGCTATGAGAGTTATCAACTTTCAGAAAGGTCAAAATCAGTAAACTGTAATACAAATATGTTGCATGTTGTAAAACGCCAAGATATTGAGGTAAACATTAAGAAGATTGTCAACTGAAATCGCTGCTAGATATTTCACCATTTACAGTGTAGTACGTATATTTGCTGGCTACATTTACAAATTTTGTTTAAAATACGACTTATGGGAAATGAAGCATATGAAAAAGACAGTCCTCAGATAGGGAAACGTGGTTACGCCTAAAACCTTTGTTTGAATTTTATGCTTTTTGGAAACCGAGTGATTCAAAGTTTCAGCAGAAAGCGTTTATTTGTAGTAGAAGTCAACAAAAAGATAAAAATGAATACAAGTGTATAAATGACCAATGAAATTTACAATATTTCACTGCTCAAACGCGGTGTCAGCCACAATTTCAAACGAAATGCATCCCCTCCATTCAAATAATAACGAAGAAGCCTCTTGTCCCGACAAAATCCAAGTTGTTCATACAGTGCGAGAGCTGCCTTGTTGGTTACTTCTGTTTCTAGGACGATCTAAATAAGACATGAAGAAAATGCACGAATCAATTCAAACATAAAATTGACACAAATTAAAAATCCTCCCATTGGAAATCCTTTTCCACGTTATACGTACCGGTATTCAGTGTTCGGACCATATGGAACTATTGCAATACAATGATCGACCTTGTCAATTTTTATAATGAATGACAGGGATAAAACAGCATAGCCCCCACAGCAGTGCCAGTTGTTTAATTTTAAAACAGAAGGGACAAGAGTTGACATAGGTCAAATAGTTACAAAGTAATAAGGTTTACCAGAGGGTGAATGACTGTTTTTGCTGAGCGTGGTCGATTTCGAGCAATACACTTGACATTCTCACAAATTCCAAACACTAACAGGTAGGTGAGCCTGAACCAGCCTTCATGATTCATATTAGCAATCATTAATTTCAGGGACTGATGTCTAACTATTCTTAGCTGCTTTCTACCTTGCTCTTACGGAAGTCTAAATCCTAGAAATTATGCTGCTTTTGCAACTTATTTCTTGTAGCTCTGTCACGGCAGCAAATTTACTCAGAGAACATAAAAGCTGTCACATTCGTATAAATGTAAACAAAGCTGTTCTGTTGAGCAGGTTAATTGTAACTAAGTGTGATTGTTTCTCTAAGAAGTTAAATGTTTTCAGACACATAAACTCCTCATTCTGACGCAAACAAGGAGGGGTTAACGTGAAAGAAAAATTACTCAGACCTGATTTCGAACTCTCTCCTCTGCGACTAGTCCTAGGAAAATGAGCTATTTGTTTTTGCCTGGTCAGTCAAGGTTGGTACAATGAAGCAATGATATATGCACTACATACAATGAAGTCTGTTGTGAAAATATTAAAAATATTTAGAAAAAACTGTAGTGGTCCCAGCTTAGCTTGAAATAAAGGAATATTTTCTTTATTTACATACTTTCTGCGACCCCGCGATTTATACAGCTTTTGCTCTATAGTTAGTTAATACCGACCCACCTGAGGCGGAGACCCGTAAGACATTTCAATTACGAAAATATTATAAGCAACCAAACCAGGGAGCTTAATTCCGACTCATTCAAAGACTTAAGTGAGACTTTAGTCAGAGAACCAGCTATATTGTTTGAAAGGATATGGTAGGCTGAGCATTTGACCACTCTCAAACGAAAACAATGTCCTACCCATTTCCTAACAAGGTTTGCATAGTGTGATCATCGAGGTGACAGGTCACTAAAAGTAACACCTATATGTGTTGGCCGCTATTACACTTCCCACGCTCCGCAAAACGCGTGAGAAACTGATCCGCAAGGCTAAGTTCTGTTTACGTTTAGGATACATTACTCATGTGTTCACATTCTTACACATGACCGTCACACATGTTGTAGGCCATCGATCACTGTTTCATAATATTCTGGTTGCTTTTGATTAGTTGAATATGGTTGCCCTCTGAAACTGCCCCTTAGAAAGGGATGTCCCTGAAAGGTTCGTTAGCATCTTGGAAGCCCAATACTTTAACACCTTGGGTAGAGTAAGGGCATATAGCCACCACTCTCCATTTTCCCGAACTCTTACCATCCCTCTTCGACATTACCTCTGAATACACTCTTGATACAGCTCTGAAGGTGGAACAAGGTGAAACTTTGATGCTTCGAATATGTGGACGATATTGTTTTACTCTGTGATATACAAGCTACTCAAATCGCAATCAATCAGTGTTCGTAATTGTTTCATATGCTACCCACTATCACAATGCAAAGTGTTTTGACAAAATCCACAAGAGCCATTACTTGCGCTGACTCTTGAAATTGAACTGTCTGAAGTTGTCGAAAAGCTTGGTTAGTTGCAAATTTGCTGCTGGAGGTGTGACTGATGAAAATAACAAAAGCATATTTAAAAAAAGAGCGAAATACGCCTATGTGGGTCATCCTTAGAGCCATTATGATGTTATCCTGCTGTAAAAGGTCGGGTATACAACTCATTGGTGAGAACGGTTCCGCTTCATACCCCAAAAACCCGGCCTGTGGGAGATGAGGATATCCGACAGTTTTGTTTGTTCGATCACTGTTTTCTCCGCAGGGTTGCTCGCATCCAGTGGAAACGCCACGTGATCAATTCTGGGATGAGGTGGCATGTGTTTGGGCATGATGCAGTTGGTCATTCATTCAACGATGTCGTCCTGAAGAACTGGTCTGGGTAGTTTGAACATGTTTGCACAAATAGCATAAAAGCACTTAACTAAGTTGCGTGACTATGCATCAACTTCAAGTTCATCTGAATAAAATACGACTTAAGGACTGCAACGAAACCAAGAATGCAATGGCTATTATCTTTACGGCAAATATAAAAAATTTATTAGACTATAGAAAAGTGTTCTACAGAATATAGTATAAAACAGATTTAACATGCCAGTTCGCAAACCTGTGTAGCTTTTAAAATGTTATCATTGTCAATTACTAGCAAAACAGCAAAAACTCCAATTTGACACAAAGAAACCTAGTAAATATAAGATAAATAGTAGTACTATAGGCGTAAGGCAGAAAGTCAGCTGAAAATTCCTTCATACCTCATCACAACCATCCTGAATCATAAGATTGATTGCTAGCTGTACCAATCGTGAACCTAGAAGTCAAACTCAGGAATTGATAGAATGCAACCTACCTATACCAATTCGACGATGGTTTTCTTCAACCGCAAGCATAGCTATATATCCATTATGCAAGTTTTCCGAATGTGTCTCCATCTTGCAAACGATTGTACCAACGCAGTTCCCATGCTCATTAATAGCCTTTTAAATTTTGGCAATATCAGTTCACAAAACATACCAGTAAGCATAGCTTAGGCCAGTTATAGATAAAATATCGATAAGTATATATAGAGTAAGGTTCTGAAAGATCCTTAGCGATCAATGATATAATACTGTTCAGATCTGACTCGCTGATGTATTGACGAAAAGTAATTTTGTTGTCGATATCATTGAACAAAGCTTGGTATGAGGAAACTGGTTAGCTTGAAAGCCACTTAAATTACACCCTACGTTTCTCTTCATTCTGATCTTTTTCGACAAAACCAACTTTTTCCAGTTCAGCAGACAATTGAACATCTTCTGACATCTCTTAGGTATCTACAATATCCGCACTGAAAAGATAGAAAACAAAAAAAAAAGTTAACTGCACGGTAAAACTAGGCTTTTAGCTAAAACATTGGTGGAACTTCTGAATGTAAACCTTTTGGTTTCAACAGCACCTATTAATCTTCCACATCGTGTGTTGAAAGCTATTACACAACAGTACTTAACTTTTATTCTTTTACATCTACAAGTTGGACAGACATAAAATCAACGTACGACCTTGCACACAAAAGCATCGGTTCAAGTCTCCACACTACAGTAGTATACAAAAAACAACTGGATAGAAGTGATATCAAGGTAGACAAAGTATGGTGGGCATTTAAAAATGAAAGTTAGGTTGTAGCTCGCCAAGTACAGTACATGGTCCAAGCCATCTCAGTCGATGAAGGTTTCACAATCTCAGTGACTGACTAGCCTTCCTTGCCTGGCACACTTCACCTGACCTTTACATTGCCAACATGGTGATTTCACTATACGTGAGCAGTACTGCGAAGACACTTATGATCAAAAATTTGTAACCGACCGATAGCTACTACCTTGACGTGGTGGTCGGGCTTGCATATCACAATGACCCAACGAGCTATGCTGGTAGAACGCTTGTTCCCTCGAGGTCCTACCATACCAAAAACGTCTGTTGGATAGTGGTAAGACGAGAAGCAGTTACCGTTGTGGTGTAAATTACTACACTATGATAAGAGTCTGAGGGCAAAGTCGTACTGCTGCTAGCTGGATGGGGTGTGACAGCAGTAAGGTGTTTCCCTTGGATGACCAGCAGTGCCATGCTCATGCTCCTTTCTCAGTGGAAGGGGGGGTTAGAAAAGACCGGCCCCAAAAATAACACACTCCACCATGACTCACGGTCTCCCGGGCTGGCAGTGTTGGTCCATTTGTTGTTTCTTTTCGACCATAGGGCCCCAAAAATACTCAAGTTCAAAATAATCATACACAGGCTACGTGTGACAGGCCTCAAGCAGATGTTTGATGGGCTCTGCAGTCACATAAATATTTTCCTCTTTCAGGTACCCTAAGAAGAAATAGCCTTCCACGGTGTGGGCAGCCGAGAAGTGTCAACCGCCCTCATAACTCGGCCAGCATTCAAGTTTCCTCAGATGATGATGAGCCACTTCGTAACTTCTACTTTTAACAGCCATATCTCACAGCCGTATAACAAGACAGAACGAACTGCAACGTAGTACACATGTCTTTTATTAATTAGTCAGATATCTCGCCAATCAGCGCCACAAGTGATGCAAGTTGGCAGAAGCGAAACGGCCCTTCTATATCCGAGCTGAGATTTCGTCAGCAATCAACCCGTCCGCGGATTCACCTTAAGAGTATCTGTAGACCCAATGGCCAGCTTTCGTGAACTCGCTGGTGCAGGCATGGCACTGAGTTGTAGAACAGAGAGTAAGCTTCTCAACTCCATTCCAGTAAACAGTGGTCTATGTGCCAATCGACTGAATGGATCTGTTAGGACTAGTAAGGATCGTGATACTAGGCGATACCTATTCGTAACCGACGCACCCACCGACTGCAGTTCCGATGATGCAAAGAATGAATTGTATGAGAAGGTGACCAACCTTGCTCCACAAAGCAAAACGTTCAGATGTAGTCATAATGGTAGGTAACTTTAATGCCCAAGCAGAGAAGCTAAGCCTATCAGAAAGACAAGCATCTTGGTGTTAATTCAGAATCCCATGTCAACGAACTGACAACGGTGATCATCTGTTGCAATTTTGCTCAGACAACCATTTGTTTCTGGCCAACAATAACTTTGGTAAGCATAAGGAGAGACAGTCTTACATGGCGTCCGTCAACTTGAAACCAACGATGGGCAGAGACATCACATTTCTATAAGCCATTTTTGGAGGATTGCTACTCTTTCTGGAGTAACTGTTTGGAATTCAATCACTAACTAGTACGGGCTCGTGTATGCCTGCACCTTACTGGTCGCAGGAAACAGACGGTTGTAAAGTTTGTCTATACTTGATTAGAAGGCGAAGAAGTCAGATAAGTACTTAAAGAGGAGTTGGCTAAGCATTTATCTGGACATAACAGCAGTGCTCATCCCGAGGAAACCTAGCATGATATTAGGTTTTCTGTAGAAACAGTAGTGAAGACGATTTGTAACCTACATCCGAGGGTTAGCAAACGTCATTAAATGTTGGCGGGGTTGTCCGAACTGAATGATGCGAGAAGACTAATTCCAGCTGGTTGTTTCTGACCACAACGAAGACCGAAAGCAACTCGAAAGTATGTTGATCAAGAGTCCTTGCGTCGATCACAAGCAGTGGTAGGTGACGAGAGCGAGAGAGAGATGGGGAAGGCATCAGGAGTGGGTAACACTCGGTAATCATTTAGACTTATTAAGGATACCAGCAAGAAGAAGACGATGGTGAGTGGAATCATCGCCGAAAAGAAAGGAAAGCTGATAACCTCCTAGGACAAGCAGCTAGAACGTTGGACAGAACACTATGAAGCACAGTTCAACTGTCCCACAGCAAGGCTTCAGATGCCAAACATCCAGCCTGAACCGGCGTGTGACGTTGATGTTGGTCTCCCAACTCTTCTTAAAGTTGAAAAAGCTGCTTCGAACTTGACAGTTTTCCGACTGAAGTTTTCAAGGATGGAGGTAGGAAACTGCTGATAACAGTGACGGAGGTAGTAGGTAGTGTATGGAAATCAGAGGTAGCGCCATCATACTGGACTACTTCTCTGATCATCTCAGCCTATGAGAAGAAAGAGGTCTTCCTGTGATAACCATAGGGAAATAATTTTGACTAAAATTGTATCCAAGATCCTAGGACCCATATCCATCCAGTCCCTTAATGGAGCTCAAGAAAACCAGGTAGGTTTCAGACAGAACTGGACGAGGGTGCATCCATCGACTCTCTGACAGGTTTTGGAACACAGGTATACCTACCGCTTAGCAGCCTACACCTGTCATATTTTTTACCTGGAGGCAGCACTTGAGTCTATCGACCATGAGGTATTGTGACAGTAACAGCTCTCTACTCGAACTCACGCAGCCATGTAAGCGCTTACCAAGATTTGTCATGTGACGACAAAGACAAGTAGTGACGTGCATCGACCACTTCACTTACTTGGGGAGTTGCATAAGCAGCAAAGGGTTGGTTGCTGACAAAATCTCAGACTGGATACAGAAGGCCCTTTCGGCATTTGCCGACTTGCGTCACCTGTGGCGTCGACTGGCAAGATGTCCGACTATCCAGTAAAGAACGAGTGCACCGCGCTGTAGTCCGTTCCGTCCTGTTAAACGGATGAGAGACATGGTTGTTAAAATTAGAAGACGTGGAGCGATTGCAGGGTTTTATCACGGATATTTTGACAGCATTGCTCACGTCTGATGGAATCACTGTAAGCAACGTTGTAGTCAGACGAAGGGTAGTAGGCAAGACAGACAAGTCGGTTGGTTAGGTTGCGAACCTTAGTCGCCGTAGATGGCTTTGACATGTTCTGCGCATGCCCAGTCACCTAGCACCTCAACGTGACATGCTCGGGGAAGTTGGATTACGTCGGAAGAGGATTCAGGGTAACCAGACTAACACGTAGCACCAGCCGATAAAGTCTCTTATTGTTGATATGAGCAGTGTGAATAGCAGACTTCCCAGTGTGGGTCTTCAAGACTAAGGGAACCAGTGGTTGAGGGGTCTTGGTGGCATGGCTGAAAATCTGCGGCAATGGCGTAGATATATTCACTTGTTGACATCTAAAGCTTGAATGTTCGCACTACCTTTCATCTCCAGGTTGTTTGCTCGCACTCCTTTATCTACTTTGATATCACTTTTTGTATTAAGCTGTTCAGCACTACTTTGAATTGTGGCAACTTGAGCCAATGCGCCTGTGTGTAAGTATCTACAATGATTTTTCCAGACAGTCACAGGAGTAACAGGGAGTTCAAGAGGACGCTCGTCTAACGAATTTGCTTTTAGACAGGGAAGAATGTATAGAAGAGATAATAAACTGTCTGCTGGTGTGATGTTTATTGATTTTAGTACAGCATTTTCACTTGTGCTTGCTGAGAAAGCTCGTAGGTCCCAGCATAAACGTCAACATGCGACAGTGGCTTGGGCCCTTCCTACATAATAAGAGACAGAGTCAGAGTGAATGATATGGTATCTGACTGGAAATCGGTTACGAGTGGGTTCCCCGGGGCACTTTAATATGGCCTCATTCGTTTTGGCTGCATTGTTGTTCATAATAATGATAGGCTAGTACTGCAGGCTGACTTATATGAGTCGACTAATTGGTCTAAATCCCACAGCTCAGAAATCAACTGTAGCAAAATTGCAATCATGCACATTGGCCGGGGCTGAACTACTCTTACTCATTAGATGGATCAAAATCACCTTGCGTAAGGGGGCAAAAGGATCAAGAAATTATCATCCAAAGCTTGAAAACAAAGCCACACTGTAACATGCCTGCAACCAATGGATTTCACGATCACTCTGTAGGCCCTTTGGTGAAATAATTAGGCTATTATTCTATGTGGATAAGACCTTACCTAGAATACTGCGCACCGGAAGTCAATTTTTGCCTCAAGCTAGCAGACGCTCCAGAATGGGTAAAAGGGTGAGTGCTAAGTTAGTGACAGGACTCTCGCATCTTCTCTACGAAGTCGTCGCAAAGTCTGTATCTTTCCAATTATCATATAATAGGGAAACATGACGTTATAATAGCTCGCCGTGTCATAAAAAATAATTTGAGTACTGATCTTTATAACAACTTTACGAGTCGTTAACCAAGAAGTCATACAAAGTTCAAAAGCCAAAGTCGAATAAACTACGAGTGGAGCTCAGCTTCCCTTAGAGTGATTAACAACTTAGAACCTATTGCTAGAACTTGTAGTAGTTGCCCCTTCAGTGAACGCTTTGAAGGATACACTGTACCTTTATAGGGACTGATATGCTATAATTAAAACAACCTACTCGCCAACCATCCTTATATCCACAGTCTAGCTAA